TTATTTTCAATACCCACTGTATTTTCCAGTTTTGCATTTGCTTGCAACGTTTCTCCAGGGAACACAAAAGTGTAAGAGATAATCTCAGTAATTTCAACTGGGTTATCTAAGGATACTGCCACTTTTATTAGTGCCTAGACTGAAAATGATTTGTCATTCACCGGCCAAAAACAGTGCCATGGATGGGTAGAAGGTGGGTGGGTTTTTTGCTCTTGTTGTACTCTTGTTCTGGTGTTAAAACATTAATATGTTTCCTCTGTTATATTAAAATTAAATTATCCATGTGTTTTTAAACCTTCAGACCAAACACTTGCTGTCTCTCACTGCTGCTTCTCAGGAAAATTCTTCAACAGTCTGCATCATGACCCTGATTCACCCATATGGGTAAGGCTTTATGTGAGAGACACTCTTCCACCTGTGTAGAGCCAGGGCTGTCAGATCCTTTTACCTTGTCCCTTGTTGAGCAGAGTGAGCCAGGGCCAAGTCAGAGAGAAAGGGCTAAAAAGAGAAGCCTCAATGAGCTTTTCAGAGAAGAAAGGAAAAGGCTAGAAAGGAAGAAGCTGGGCAAAAGACTGCAGAGGACAGGGCCAACAGACTGCTCAACTCACTAGAGATTCTTTTTTTTTAATATTTGTATTTTTAACAACAACAACAATAATAATAATAATAATAATAAAACTAAAAATGAAACTTTATAAAAGCAAGTTTGCTAAAAAGGAAGGTGAAGGTTTTGGATTCTAAGCGTTCTCCTCTAGTGTGCAGGGCTTCAGCAGGCTATTTCAACAATGTTCAACGTTTTCAAATACCATTATGGTATTTATGCATAGAATAAAATCAAAAGTAAATGTGAGTACACCAGATGGCAGTGAAGAGCTACTGGCAACCTAGCAGCAACAATGTTGCATTACATATGTCATACCTGTGAAGTCATTGCCTGATAGGGCAGCAAGACAACAAAGCAGCTGCCTAAGCTTTTGGACACAGCCATTGACTATTGCTTGGAGGGAGGAGGTTGTTGATCCTTGATGGAAAGTACTTGCCCCTGCCCATCTGCTACACATACAAAGTCTCCATGTCAAGTTTTGTCCCAAAAGAGTGAAATTAGAGAGTTAAAAACTTTATATAATGCCATCAGAACAAAATTTCTCTAGTTCCTAATGCATACACAACGTAAATTTCACAGTGCGGCTTGCTTTCTATGCAAAGTTGTTGGTTAAGAACAACTGACACAGAATAGCATATGCTGCTTGCGTTCAGCGGATGTTCTCCAAAATGGCGCTACAGTGATGTGGAGAGATACAGAGGAGACGAATTGTTGAATAAAGTCGTTTTTTTTTTTTCTTCGCGTACAAAAAGTATTCTCGTCGCTTCATAACGTTACGGTTGAACCGCTGATGGCAGATGGACTATTCTGACGATGTCTTTCATACTTTTCTGGACCTTGACAGTGTAATTTACTTGGCAGTCAATCAACAGTCACAAGCCTCCCGGTTTTCATCCAAAATATCTTAAATTGTGTTCCGAAGACGAACGAAGCTTTCACGGGTTTGGAACGACATGGGGGTAAGTGATTAATGACAACATTTTCATTTTGGGGTGGATTATCCCTTTAATTGAGTTATACAAATGTATAATCTGCTAAACATTTTCAAAACATTTGAACTAACTTATGGCGATTAACTTTGGTTAGGAAACTGTACATGGGCAGGGTGTAGGTATGTCACCCAATCAGAATCTCATACCCTCATGACAAAACTTTGAAGACTGGTACTCACCCCACAACTGGCTCAGTAATGCAGTATTGCACAGTGTTTATCAATGTTTTCTAGTTGTGCTGTAGCTGCAGCATGTCTCTCATGTCTCAAGTCTGGTGTATTGGCCCATGTTAGGCAGCAGCACCTCCTCCACCATCATTATCTTCTCTTTAAATCCCCTTTAAATCTACTCTGAGACTTGTCCTATAGCTTAAATATATCATTCAATTAGACAGATCCAAGAACAGCTTATCTGACCAAACCACTTCCTCACTGAAAGTCACTATTGCTTTAGAAAACATGCAACAAACAAGTCATATTGACCTCCTTTATGGTGCTTTTTCGAGATAGACACTCGAAAAGATGCATGGACCTAGAACCACAGGTAACCCCATTGATAGATTTGTGCTTCGTAAAAGAGGATTTGTTGAGAATTAAAAAAAAAAAAAATCAAGGCAACATGATGCATTCAGTATTTTAAATTATTTTGGCTATTGTTTTAATTTTTGTCATAAGTAAAACGTATGTCCTAAGTAAAAAGTAAAAGTATTTTGTCAAAAATAAATGCAAAATGCTTCATTCAGCCAATAAATTCATCAAAGCAACTACTTTTTCATTATTAAATAAACTTAGCAGAACAAATTAATTCTACCAATTTGGTAACAATGTATACAGTTTTAAATGACATAAAGTAAACTATGCTACACTCTTAAAAATAAAGGTGCTTCAAAAGGTTCTTCAAGCGATGCTATAGAAGAACGATTTTTGGTTCCACAAAGAACCATTCAGTCAAAGGTTCTTTAAAGAACCATCTCTTTCTTACCTTTTTATAATCTGAAGAACCTTCTTTCACCACAAAGAACCCTTTGTGAAACAGAAAGGTTCTTCAGATGTTAAAGGTTCTTTATGGAACCATTTGGGCAAATAGGTTCTTCTATGGCATCATGAAGCACCTTTATTTTTAAGAGTGTACTGTATCTTTGTTTCTGAAGATGCAATCATCTTACAAAGCAAAGATATCTGGGATATTATTTTAAAATGTTGTACTTAGACCTCAACACCTGAAACACAAATCTGACGAATGGTGACAATCAACAAATGTAAAAAGATGAGCTCTTAACATCACCACACAACAAATAACTAACAATAATGACAAAACATTCTAGAGTCAGTTTCAGGTCATAAGCCACACACAACAGAAAAAAAGCTTGCAGGGAAAGTTGACACTGACCGTTAAGCATTGCATATTCTCAGGGTTTGCGGAGTTGGAGACAGCTGCATGGTTTGATGTAGCAGCTTCTGAGGAGATAAAAACAAATGAGTCCTGGGCTTTGTCTCTTTCACACACACACACACACACACACACACACTGCTACAGAAAACTTTAAAATCTGTGTATGTGGAAGTTTCTTGCTTGAAGGTTTTTAATCCCTTTTCCTTGGTCTCTCTCTCTCTCTTCTTCCCCTAAGCAAAAAAAAAAAAAAATGTTGAAAATGTTCTCTCAACTCTATCATCTGTCATCAGTAGACTATGGATAGAGCCACTGCTTGCCCCAATCAACAATGTCTTTTTAAGCATTAAAATGGTTTGCTGTTATGACTGTTTAAAAGGCAAACACTGGGGTTAAAAAATGCAGAACGTTTTGTGTGAGGGGTTGATTTAGGAGTAGGGTAATGGGATAGAAATGATCTGGTTACTAACGTAACCGTGGTTCTCTGAGATAACGAGCGTTAGGTTTACACACTTATGGAGGAAACTACTGTTTATTCTGATACTGAAGCCTAATTTGTTTTTGTTCGTGTAGCTGCATTAACCAATGGCGCTTCAACCCTCCAAAAGGGGAGAAGTCGACCTCTATATAAGTCAGCTCTGAGTGCCATTTCGTCAGAATCTTTCGATTTACGTGCAGCCTTATAGCAAGGCAGCCTACACAAAGCTCGTTCCCTTATGTCAGGGAACCAAGGTTACGTTAGTTACCAGAACTTTCACTTTCAAATGGTCTCTCACATTGCGTTGACATGCTTATGGGGAATGTGTCTAATAACCCCATGCTATAATAAGCAAGTGCAGAATGAAGCCACTCTGCGAGCCCAGCCCCGGAACACTCATACTGAGGGCTCCTGTAAACATGAGCCAATAATGAGACCAAAGTTTTTCAGGCTGAGGACTGCAGCAGAACCCTCTCCACTTACAAAGGAGATTAGGTAGAATTTGGACACTGGGGTGGTTCCGAACTGTTTTAAGCATGCGGTTGTTCAGCCTTTGTTTAAAGAGCAGCATGGCCCACTTTTGGTATGAAGAGTATCAACAATTTAAAAATACTTAGGTAACTTGAAAATATGACAGAGCGACAAATCAGAGCAAAAGAGAAAATTAGTGACCCATAGAGAGACAGATGATTATTAATGCATTAATGATTCAGTTGTTCATGTTAATCTATTCAGGCAGTTAGAAGTCACTGACATACTGACATCAAGAGTTGATGAGTCATGTTATCTCAACCCCAGCCCCACAGAAAATGTAGAAACAGACGCTGAATAAAATGCAATCATGTTTGTGCGTGTATAACAATTTACAAATGACAGTACATGCAAACCGGATTCATCCAAAGATTACAAACAAAGACAAAGACAGCAATCTTCCACCTCACCAAAACATCTATGAGACTCATAAGGAATAGAAAGGCTGTGCTCAATTAATGACTAATGTAACACACTCATTAGACACATGAACGACAGAAGGAAAGATCACTCACCTAATCACTGCTGACACATGCACACTGATGTACAGACAGATGTTGTGAGAGTGAAAGTTATTATCTCAAACTCAGTTTCAACATAAGTGTGAGCCAAAATGTTGTCGGACTCTGGGAGCAAGGCGTTGCTGACTCTATACTCTGGGCAAATGCCACAGCGTGTGTATGATTCTCAGTGATGTGTGTGGCTTGTCCAGCCCCCTCCCTCCCTCCATCCATCCATCCTCTCTCACTCCCCATATAACCAATTTTAATCCTCCACTCAGCCAGCAGACTCTTTGAGCCTGTGTTTAGTCCTGCCTACATCCTCTTCCAGTGGGTTTTAAACACATCATCACATATCTGTATCCTCCATGGTTATAGTAATTACAATAGCTGGGTAAACTGGTAAACATAACCTTAACCATGTAGTTTTCATGTGTTATAATGAGTGACAATCTGCCACTGGAATTTGTTATTTTGAATGTTTTGCTCTGTAACCGAAGGCAAGAGTTTAATGTTCTCTCTTGTACAGTCACACAGATACATGCTCCAGTCTACTTACAGCTGCAGCAGCTCGCTATCCATTCTTGTGAAGTCGAAGAACAAAATGCTAACAAATGTACAGCTGCGACTGAAATACGTCTATATATCTGCATTTTGTTTTTATTAAAATAAGTTTTATGTGGGCGAAAGAACTGGGAAATATGCAAAGCAAAAAAGCAAAGTTTCCACTAGACCAACACAAAATAATTCTAAATTCTAAAATTAAAAAAAAATATTATTTACTGTATGTGACTTACCCACTGAGACTGATGGTGGAAGATGGATGGTGTTTTCATTTTAAACACTTCTATGGGTTAGGAAGAATGAATCATGAATCATTAGTGTATGACAATTTAATGACAACTCATCTTGCATCCAAAAATAGGCATTCAACATGGTCTTAAACTAGAATTTAAATGACTTCTGGACATTCATAATTCTAATTCACTATGGACCAATCAGACACACCATTTTTCATTTGATTTAACAAATCACCATAATGTATTAAACTGCTTTAGTGAAGAAATCACAAAATTTCAGTATTGTTTAAATTGTTTCTTTGAAGAAGAAATCTCAGTACAGTTATATCAAGGTAGATTTGAGTGATGCTCCTCTTCCTATAGCATAAAGGCCTTATAGTTTATAATTAGATTGAAGCAATTCATCTACACTTTGACTGTATATATACAAGCCTAGCAACCTGGTCGTCATTACTGTGTTTCACTCGCTGAGGGAAATTAAAGGTGTAATACGGTACTTTAGTATTCATGTGTGATTCACACATAACTACATATATGTTTAAACCGGCTTTAACTTACAGCACAAGTTTACCAAAAAGTTGCAGATGCTGACTAACTGCCCAGATTGCAGACCAAAGAGGACTGGCCAGGCGTTGTGAGGAACACCCTTCTACCCAGGGCTGACGACCACCTACTGCACCAGAGCCAAAAACAACTGGACACTGAGGGAAGAGTCCTACTGACTCATGACTCAAGCGAGAGTTATGGCTACAAAGAGCTGACCCCTGCTTACAGCCCCCTCAACAAAGTTACTCAAACTCTCTCTTTGTGTTCACGAACACAAAAACATAGCACCCTACCTCACTATCTGCCGCTCACCAGCTATTCATACCGTGCACGGCCTACACAGCCGTTCCCCATAGAGATAGCTTGACACCTCTGTACGTACTTGCATTTGTCTTGTCCCTTTCTCTCTCTGGTGTTCCCACAAGTGTGCCAGTATGTCGCAGTTAGACCAGTTTAAGTGTTTATGTGTATGTTAGACCAGTTTAAGTGTTTATGTAGTATGTTAGACTAGTTTAAGTGTTTATGTAGTTAATAAAGTCTTACTTGTATCACGCTTGACGTTGTTCATTGTTTGCTCATAACTGGAGTCACTTAATCATGCAGATTTATGCTACAAGCTCTGTGTAGAATTGTACAGTAAGAAAGTTATTTCCCTTAACCAGGAAATTAACGTTCTTAGAATTGACAGACAGTTGACCCTGAGAGGTCAAGTAAATATCTACAGCGGATCTAAATATTTATAATTAATTATAACTAGTTATGATTAATTATTCATATATCCCCATGAGCTGATTCGCTACATGAGCCATAACTGTCATTTTTACCTTTCCGGTCAAATATTGTGCTGCAAACATCATTAACAGCTTTAACTTCTCAATGCTGGCAAATGACCATGGTATAAGCTGTACAATGCATGGCTAGATGTGCATTAAGCGATTTTAATGCACTCCGCGGAGGCGGGTGGTTCTTGGCCTCCACGTTGTGCATTAAAATAATTTAATGCACAGCTAGCCGTGCATTATCCCTTACGTATGTTCAAACCCTCAGTTTCCTCAGTTCCAATTGCTGTTCTGATTCTCCTGTGGGTTCTCCATGTTTATTATAGTTGAGTTCTGCCTTAAAAACTAATGGTGCAACCAAATTAAGTAAGTTAGAAACTAAAAGCAGCTGGTGTAACCCTACCCTAAACTTGAACCCTCTAGCTCTCCTGTTCATAGGGTCTAACTCCTCCCCAGGAAAGAATCAACGTAAATAAACAAAATAACCCCACTCCCTTCCATCATAACTAACAGATAGTACAGTACAGTACAGTTTCATCCAGATTAAACCAGATGAACTATTTAGTTGTGCAACATGTGGACTCTGCAGTATTAGCAGAGGGTTTGGTAGGATTTTAGTTCCGCAGAATTGTTGACAACAGTATTGCCAGCATTGGCCAAAATTCTTGAATTAGATATCGGGCCATCCAACAAGATGGTCTTGTCCTTCTCACGGATCTCTGTGAGATTGAGCCAGAGGTGTCTCTCAGTTGCAACCAAGCCAGCCAGGGCCGCATTAACCATTGGGCTAGGTGGGCCTGAAGCCGGGGCCCAAGCAAGGAGGGGGCCCGACTCTGTGGAGTAGATTGACGGACTTCGGTAGCGCTGATCGCCAAAGCCCCAACATGCCCCTCACTTTTTAGCGCTATTATTTAGTGGAGTTTTCCGTAAATTCCGTGCATTACCATTAGAGATTAAAACGTCACATTTGAATTTGTTTTACCAATCAAATGCATTTATTATATATTTTACTTTTGAACGAACTGTGCACGTAGCATATCTATCATGTGATCGCTGCTCCTAATGTCTGCATTCACCTCTCTTCACTTCATTCTGGTGTAATCTAGAAACAGTCATGCAAAGAACAATCTTCGATAAGTAAAAATGTCAACTATTCTAAAAAAAAAAAATAGTGAGAGAAAAAAATGAGGAGAGAGGGGAAAACATGAGTGAGTCACTAAAATCCACAGCTAGTTTATATTACTAAAGCTGATGATGGAGTGTGAGTTTTGGAACCGCAAATGGACCAGACACATGGAGCAGATAAAAACACACCATCCCCACAGATTTTAGGTTAGTTTGATTATTAACTTGATAGATGTATAGTGCTTTTTGTGTTTGAACAAACTCTATAGGCCTAGTATATTCGCTTATGGGTTGAGAAATTCATTTTGCGCATTATGATGTAAGCTTTTAATTTAAACGCATTTTAAGCATTGTGGTTTAAAAACTAATTTAACTGTTCAGGGTCATTAAGCAGTGGGGCAGAATTCATATTGGCAAATGCACGCGTTAAGACGGTTTCTGATACGCGCGGAGCACACTTGCTCAAGAGATATTTTTCGCGCCTTGTGTTTAAACGTTCGAACACACATAGTTATGTGTCAAAATGCCCGTCTCCGACCTCGTCAACACAGTCATTTGTGTCTTAGATGAACGTTACTAGTTACAGATAAAGCATGTGCACTAGTTGGCTATTATGCGATCCTGGCATTATATGATGAGATTTTAAAGGGATATAGTTCACCCAGAAATTAAAATACTATCATCATTTACTCAAGTTTCAAGTTGTTCTGAACCTGTATGAATTTCTTTGTTCTCCTCAACATAAAAGAAGATATTTTGAAGAATATTCGTAACCACCAGAAAGTTTCTGGTGCCTGTTGACTCCAATAGTGTTTTTTTTTATACTATGGAAGTCATTGGGGCACAGAAACTGTTTGGTTACCAGTATTGTTCCAAATATAAGCGTTTGCATTCAACAGCAAAAGAAAACTCATACAGGTTTAGAACAACAACACCATAACTTTAATTTTTGGGTGAACTATTCCTCCAAAGCAGCCTAATATAGCTGCTGTTGCCATTTGTGTCAATAATGTAAATTAAACATTAGAAAGAAAATCACACACTGTCCTTGACCGAATCGCTTCTGTAAAATAATGTATATTGAATTTACACAGTGAAGACTATTCAGTCT